GTTCTTTAAACTCATCAAATTACTTGATCATGTTTATGATTGTTCTTTTAAATTCAGTGTCCTGGGTTATCTCTAGGGGGTTCTCCTTGTAGAACTCTTCTACAGGATTGGTGGGCTTTGGTGGGGACATGGTGTTTGGCTTTCCATTTTATTATTCTTTTGTTGTGGTTTTGGCATGTGAATTTCTTTTGTTGTTTATGATTCTGATATGAGAATTAAGTTGAAGTATGCTTCTGGGTGCCTAGATCCTTTCTTCATTGGTTATGTATGGCAGGTTGGTACAGGGTTCAGGTTCTCTCAGATTTATTTTGAAGGGAACTGATGGCTTTAGATCAGCTATTCAGGGGTACACACAGAAGCTCAATTCAGGCTCCAGTCAGGCTTCCTTCATCACATGGAGGCAGGATCCAGGCTCACTCAGGTTGTCCTGTGCATTGTCAGCCCTATGCCAGAGGGAGGCCAGAGGGGGGCCAGAACTCGGCACTCTCTGGCGGTCTGCTGAGATCCCAGCCTTAGCCTACCAAAGCCACATCTACCCTGGGGCCTTGGGAGGGGCCCCACAAAATCCCAGGTAGGGGATGGTATAGCACAATTAGGGGAAGCTTACCACCACGTGGAGGTAGGATCGGGGGGCTGTCAGGCTGTCCCCTGGGTTCTCAGGCCCTCTGGTAGTTGGAGGCCAGAGGGAGGCTAGAATCTCACACTCTCTGGTGGTTTGCTGAGCTCCAAGCAGCTACCCCCCCTTAAGTTGCTTTTGTCAGGTATTTTATCACAGCAATATGAAAAGTTACTAATACAACTAGATATTCTGCTTTAGTGGTGACAGCTTTAGTTGTCAACTTGACACACCTGAAGAGAGAACCTCAGCTGGGGGCATTGCTTCCACTAGAATGGCCTGTGGCCATGTCTGTGGGGCATTCTCTTGATTGTTGTGTGATATGGGAGGGTCCAGTCCACTGTGGGCGGTGCCACCCCGGCATGTGATCCTAGGTTGCATAAGAAAGCAGGCTGAGCACTGACCAGAGGAGCAAGCCAGTAAGCAGCGTTCCTCCATGGTCTGTGCTCCAGGTTTCTGCCCTGAGTTCCTGCCTTGGCTTCCCTTGATGATTAACTGTGCTTATAAGCAACAAAACAAAACAAAAACAAAAACAACAAACAAGCAAACAACAAAAAAATCTTTCTTCCTTCCCAAGTTGGTTTTGATCAGTGTTTTTAAAAATATTTTATTTATTATTTTTATTTTATGTGTATGAGTGTATTGCCTGCATGTATGTGAATGCACCCGTGTGGTGCAATGCCGTGGAGGTCAGAAGAGGGCTTTGGATTCCCCTGGAACTGGAGTCAAGGATGGTTCGTAGCCGCCATGTGGGTGCTGGGAGTCAGAACCCGGGTCCTCTGCAAAAGCAGTCAGTGCTCTTAACTGCTGAGCCATCTCTCCAGCCCTTGATCAGTGTTTTTAATCACAGCAATAGCAACACTAACTAAAACAAATCCTTCCTTCCTTCCTTCCTTCCTTTCTCTTTCTCTCTCCCTTTCTCTCCCTCTTTCCCTCCCTCCCTCCCTCCCTCCCTCCCTTCCTTTCTCTTTCTCTCTCCCTCTTTCTCTCCCTCCCTCCCTCCCTCCCTTCCTTCCTTCCTTTCTCTTTCTCTCTCTCTTTCTTTCCTTTTTTTGTCTTTTCTTGTAGCTCCAGCTGGCCTGGAACTCACTATGTAGATCAGGTTGGCCTTGAACTCACAGAGATATGCCTTCCTCTGCCTCCTGAGTGCTGGGATTTAAAATAAAAATTTTGCTTCCCTGTGTATGAGTGTTTTGCTTGAATGTGCATGCACCCATGCTTACAGTCCCTGTGGAGGTCAGAAGAGAGCATTGGATTCCCTGGAACTGGAGATAATTGTTAGCTGCCATGTGAGTGCTGGGAACCCAACCCATCTCTCCTACTCTACTGGGATTAAAGGCATGAGCCACATACCCTGCTGTAACAATTTTTTTTTTTTTTTGCCTTCCTTCCTTCCTTCCTTCCTTCCTTCCTTCCTTCCTTCCTTCCTTCCTTTCTCTTTCTCTCTCCCTCTTTCTCTCCCTCCCTCCCCTCCCTCCCTCCCTTCCTTCCAGCAGGGATCAGACCTAGGGCCTCACACATACTAAGCACACTCTCTACCACTGACCTGCACTCTCAATCTGAGTATTCTGCATTTTGCTCATTCCTCAGCACCACATGGACTGGGTGTGGTGGGATGACCCTGTAATCCTGTCACTCAGGTGCATGTGTGTGGATGGGTGAGGGTGGGGGTGGAGGCAGGAGGATCAGAAAGTCAAGGTCCTCCTCAGCTACAAAGTGAGTTTCAGGCCAACCTGGGCAACATGAAACCCCCATCTCAGGAAAAAAAAAAAAAAAGCTTCCAAAACCAAAAATCTAAACAATACCTTCCCCTACCAATCAGTGAAAACAAAACGGGAGAAGGCAGTGGTGGGAGAGGAAGAGGAGGAGGAAGGTCAGGTGAGTTGGGGGTACACAGTACCTTGAGGGTGTGGCATGCCTTGATGGTGGCCGCCAGAGAGAGGCAGTCATGGAAAGTGAAGAGGAAGAGGTTCCACTCGAAGTTCATGCCACAGTCTTTGACGCCGTAAACCAGGTCCAGCTCTTCCAAGTACTTCAGGCCGGTCACCAGTTCCTGCAGCTGGTAATGATCCTTAATGGACTCTTCCCGCTCTCCCTCGCTACCGGAGTCTGACTGGTCCTCGGCGGCGTGGGGAGGGGCCGGCATCCGCACAGGTGGGAGGAACTGATCCACGTTGATGCGGCGCACGTAGTTCCTGCAGAGGGGCAGCAGGTCGAGGATCACGCGGGGGTCGGTGGTGCCCGGGATGAAAAGCTTTAGCAGGCTCTCCAGATGTCTCTCGAAGAACATGCGCTTCCAACTGCCGCCGTGCCTGGCCACGTGGCACACGGGCCAGCGCTTCGTGCAGCAGCGGTGCCAGTAGCTCTCATCGTCGATCAAGTTGGCGGTCACCTTCAGAGGCAGGTCAGGTGGCAGGTGGCTCAGGACCTTCTGCTGGTGCTCTGGGAGTAGCTGCTTCAGGATAGGGTTGTCTTTGGGAGCAGGGGGAGGAAACAGGGCAGGGTTGGGGATGTGACAACATCATATCCTGGACTGGGCTTGCCTGGGGACACTGAAGAAAGTGAAGACTGTGCCCTTCAGTGCTTTGCTTTGAGAAGAGAAACAGAGTCTTGGAGAGACACAAATTTGGGGGTTCTCTGGAGGGCAACTGGACATTGTACAAGGCAGTATCTAGTCTCAGCCAGCCCCATGTGAGGGAGAATCAGGAGTCTCAGGTCCAGCCCTCAATCCATCATCTAGTCTGATGGATGTGACAGCCTCTGACTTCAAGTCAGACTTGATTCACTCATTCCATAATAAATATATTTATTTGAGGAGCTGGAGAGACGGCTCAGCGGTTAAGAACACTTGGTACTCTTCCAGAGGACCTAGTTAGGTTCCTAACACCCACATGACAGCTAATAACCATCCATAACTCCAGTGCCAGGGGATCCAATGCCCTCTTCTGGCCTTCCTGAGCATTGCATGCATGTAGTGCACTTACATACCATGCATACAAAACCACTCATATACATAAAATTAAAATAAAATATCAAAAACATATTTATTTGAACAACTACTATGCACCAGGCACTGCTGGAGATAAAAATGAAAGAAACAGGGGGTTGGAAAGATGGCTCAGTGGTAAAGGCACTTGCTGAGAAGGCCTGGTGACCTAAATTCAATCCCTAGAACACATGCAAAGGTACTAGAGAACTGAATCCACAAAGTTGTCCTCTGATCTCTACATATGCATGGTGTTACCCATGCACCCTCCCAATACCACACACATAAACGCGCACGCGCGCGCACACACACACACACACACACACTTTTTAAAAAAATGAAGGATGGAAGCTGGACATGGTGGTGCACTGCACTTGAGAGGCAGAGGTGGGTATGGATCTCTGTGAGATTAAAGACCGAAAAAAAAAAAAGATGGGACTGGAGAGACTCAGTGGTTAACTGGCTGCTCTTGCACAGGACCTGAGTTCAATTCCCAGCACCTATATAGTGGCTAACAACTGTTCATAACTCCAGTCCAGGGGAATCCAACACGTCTTCTGACCTCCACTGGCATTGCATGACATGGGTGCACTTCTACACATGCAGGCAATATACTCATGCACATAAAATAAAATATTTTTTAAAAATGAAGGAAACAGAGGGACCCTCAACCTCTTAGGATTCATACTTAGCTTGCCGAGATACACAATCAATAAGCAACAAGAAAATATACTAGGGCTAAGTGGTCCTTGACCCTTTGGGTATAAGATGCTGGGTACTCATCTTTGGAATTGACTAGTATTTATAAAGCATAGAATACAGAGAGCCGGGCATGGTGGCGCACACCTGTAGCCCTAGCACTTGGGAGGCAGAGGCAAGCAGATCTCTGTGAGTTCAAGGCCAGCCTGGTCTACATAGTGAGTTCCAGGCCAGCTGGGGCTACAGGGAGACCCTGTTTCAAAAAGACCAGAAAAAAAAAACCAAACAAACCACAAACAAACAAACAAACAAAAACATAGAATACAGAGGAAACCAGAGACCCATGCATGCCATGGAAGACTCCATCAGAATGACAGGTGGGAACCAGAGGGCTTCTTGGAGAAGGAGGTGGATGTGGCAGAGTCTGGCCTTACTGCAGAGAGCAGACATGACCCAGAAAGGGCAGTAGGCATGGAGGGCACAGTCTTCCGGAATCTTGGGGGGATCTGGGGCAGGGAACAGCAGGAGACACCACATTGGTGTTGCGTGGGAAGTGTCGAGTGGTTACTAGGTAGATGGTGCTCCTCCCCCCAGCAGAGACTTACTCTGGAAATTCTTCACAATATGTTGAATGCAGAGCTCTGTGAGGAGGGGCACGATGGCCAGTGACCACTCCGAATCCTCGGCAATGATCCTACGCATGCGATGGGCATTATGTGCCTTGGACTTTATGAGGGGTGGGACTGTGCTGGGGATGGTCTTTGAGGGCATGGGGCCTGGGGTGGGACCTGGGGAGGGACTTTGGACTGTCATGGAGGGCTGGTGTTGGATGGAGAACGAGGACTGGCTGGCCGATTCTGGTGCAGGTGGCGTTGCAGAGTCTGGCATGATGAGAGCTCACAATGCTGGGGCAGGAAGCTCTTGGGGGACCTTGTGATCGGAAGCTTCTCAAACTGACAGGTCCTTGATGCAGGTAGGGCAGGGCAGGTGGGGGGGGGCTTGAACAGAAGAAGGAGAGAACAGTGTTATTTGAGAAGACTTAAGTGGTATGGAATGATACTTAAAGGACAGTCTCTGGAGTGTAGTAGATTCAGATGTAAATCTTAGAGATGGCCTGTGTGGTGTTGGGCTAGTTACTGAACCTCTCTGAATTTCAGATGTTGCCCTCTGTGAAATGAGGGTAATAGTTATCAATAGTATTATCAGAGGAATGAAGAAAATAATGCATCCCTGGGGCTGGAGAGATGGCTCTGTGGTTAAGAGCACTGACTGCTCTTGCAGAGGACCTGGGTTCGATTCCCAGAACCCACATGGCAGCTACAAACCGTCCTTAACTCCAGTTCCAGGAGAATGTGAAGCCCTCTTCTGACCTCTGCAGCATTGTACGACATGGGTGCACTCACATACAGGCAGGCAATACACTCATACACACAAAATAAAAATAATAAATAAAAAAGAAAACAATGCATCCCAAGGGCCACAGTGTGTTATTAAACATGTGAAACCAGAAAAATGATCAGTCCTACATTTTAGATAATAACTATTCAGCACTATAGTAAGTGCTGTGCACTGGGCACTTTTTCTTTGGTTATTAGTTCGTTTATCATAAAAAAAAAAAAACCTCTTGGCGATAAGAACTCCTTCAATCATTTTTTTGGTCATTTTGAGACATGGTCTCCCTGTAGCCCCAGATGACCTGGAACTCACTGTGTAGACCAGGCTGGCCTTGAACTCACAGAGATTCACCTGCCTCTGCCTCCCAAGTGCTGGGATTAAAGGTGTGCGCCACCACGTCCAGCTTTCATCATTTTGCTTTTTGAAGCAGGGTCTCACTATGCAGCCCTGGCTGACCTGGAGCTCCCTATGTAGCCTAGGACTCACAGAGATTCTCCTGCCTCTGCCTCTAGAGTGTTGGAACTAAAGATATGTGACATCACACCCAGTTTTTAAAAAATTTATGTATGAGTGTTTTGCCTGCATGTATGTAAGTACACTTGTGCATACAATGCCCATGGAGGCCAGAAGAGGGAGTTGGATTCCCTGGAACTGGAGTTACCCATGGTTGTTAGCTGTCATGTGGGTTCTGGAAGTTGAACCCAGGTCCTCTGCAAGAGCAGGCAGTGCTTTTACAATGGAAGTCATCTCTCCAGCCACTCTCTGAAGCACAGAGAATTAACTGACTTTCCCATAGCCTAAATGGAAGAAAACAGGTTTTTACCTTTTAAAGATTTATTCTTAATTGTGCACATGTGTATGTGTGTGGTATCCGATGAGGAGAGAAGAGAGCATCAAATACCCTGGAGCTACAGTTACAGGTGCTTGTGAGCTGCTTGAGATGTGGGTGCTGGGAACTCTAGACCTCTGCAAAAGCAGTACATGCTCTTAACTACTGAGCTCTCTCTCCAGTCCCCATAAGAATGGATTTTAAATTCAGTTTCTTAAGTCATATTCTGGACCCTACCTTGTACTGCCACCCTAAGGGTGAGTACTGAGAGCTATGGACTGCCAAAGGAGAGGCACTACAGTAAAGAACTAATTAATTCTAAATGCTGAACCTGACTGACTGACGTGGAACTGAGACCAGCACTGGCCAAAAGGAATAGAACACAAACCCCAATGCAAGCTGCATATGTTGTTTTAATTTGTCTTTATATTTATTATTACTTTTGAGACAAGATCTGATGTAGCCCAGGCTGGACTCCAACTCACTGTGTAGCCAAGGATGACCTTGAACTTCTGATCCTTCTGTCTCCACCTCCTGAGTGCTGGGATTACAGGTTTGCATGATATAACTGGTTTATGCTGTGCTAGGAATTTAACCCAGTGATTCATGCATGTTAGGCAAGCACTCTACTAACTGAGCTACATCCCCAGACCTTGTTTTTAAACTTTCTAGTACTCACATTTAAAGAGTAAATAGAGTTGGGGAAGTGTAGCTCAGTGATGGAGCTCTTACTTAGCATCCCTAACATTAAAAAATATGGCAAAAAACAAATAGATAAAATTAATTTTGTACTGAACCCAGTATGCCCCAAATATTGTCATTTACATGTGATCTGTATAAAGACTTTTAAAACTTAAAAAAAAAAAAGATTTGTTTTTATTTTATGAGTGTTTGTCTGTTTGAATGTATGTGCACTGTGTGTATGCAGTGCCTGTGGAGGCCAGAAGAGGGTGTCAGGTCTTCTGAAACTGGAGTTACAGCCAGTTTTGAGCCACCTTGTGAGAGCTGGGAACTGAATCTGGATCCTCTGCAAGGGCGGCAAGTGCTCTTAACTGCTGAGTACTCTCCCTGCAACCCCCATAAAGGTTTCTAATGGGATTTATAGCTATATATGTGTTCACAACATGTCTGAGACTGTGACCTCCGTCTAGGGCAGTACAGCTGAGAGGGAAGGAAGAAGACACAGACACATGCCTGCCCAGAGTGCCAACCCTTTCCTTCACCCTCCCTTTTCTCTACCCCTCCCCCAGCTCCTAGTTCTAAAGTCTCCCCTCATCCCAGACGGTGGCGTGGGAGGCGAGAAGGCAGCTAAATATGGGACTGAAGACAGAATGCTGAAGCTGTTGCCTGTGTCTGGGGCCCCTCCATGTGGCTACCCCTTTACTGCTGTTGCAGGTGCATAGCCAGTGACCTGCAGGCAGAACCAGGGCTGCTTGGACCCTCTGTGCCTCCTTGGGCAGCTCCCCTAGGTGGAGCACCGTGGTGTGGCTAGTGGGAAGCAATGCTTTGCTTCAGCGAAGGCATCCTTGGCAGAGGGAGGGACCAGATGGCTCGCTCTAGCCTGCCAAGCAGCTCAAGGAGGAAAAGCCTGGGGAGAGGGGCAGTGTAGGGAAGATATTTATGTATTGTGTCACCCAGTATGCATATCAAATGCAGATTCACAGCCTGGGTCCAACTTTAACTAATGGCCTCAGAGGATGGGACTGCTGCAGGGTGCTGATTAGAGGCACCAGCTGGTTTTGCATTTCTGGCTTGCTGTGTGACCTTGACCAAGCTGTATAAACTATCTGAGCTTCAATTTCCTTATCTGCAAAATGGGTTAATAATGTCTTCCACTGAGGGCTTCAGTGGAAATTCCCATCTTGAGTGCTGACACCTAGGAATTCCATCTTGAGTGCTGACAGGTGTCTTTAAGTGAATGCAAGATGTCTGAGACTCATCCCTGTACTTAGGGAAGAGGTGAGGGGCAAGAGGGCAATGGTGGTTTGGGGCCCAGGTGCATCATGGGTAGAGACAGTGGAGGGGAATCAGAGGCAACCCGGCTCCTGCCAGCCCTACATCTGGACTCCGCTTCTTTCAATGTTCACGCCTAGAATGTTCTATGCTTTCTCAGAATACCTGTGGGCCACACCAGGCATGTAGGAGCAAGTTTGGCAGGAGAGCCCATGTTCCTGGTGGGTGTGGCCTTGGAGTAGGTTGTCAGGCACATTCATACTGCCACTACCCCTGCCAGCCTGGTCCCAGCTCTCATCTCTCCTTTGAATTTTGCTCTCAGGTCCCTAGGCATCTGCCTAGGTCTCTCAGACTCAACCCACACAGAAGCTGGAGTTGGATGTGGAGTGGTCACCACTCCTGCAGGCCATCCCGGTCCTTCCCATTGCTGCCTCAGCTCAGGGCCTCCTTTTCTGCCACACACAGCTGCCAGGCACCCGGCCCTGGCATCCAGTCTGTTCCTCTCACAGCCAGTCCTGTGTAGCTGCTGTGGTAGGCTTCTGTGTAAACCCTTCAGGGACTTGTCACGACCTGGAAGCAAAGCCAGTTTCAACCTCAGCTCCTCAGAGGACAAAGGTCTTCCACTAGGACTGGGCACTCCCTGAAATAAAACATGGTCTACATCTGGGGACACTTCCGGCTAGTTCAGGTGGCCCTTCCTTTGCGCAGGTCATCCCCTCATCCCGGGAATCCTTTCTGTGCCTCCTCTGCCTGGGGAAGAGACAGGCATTGGTCCACTCACTGAGTTCAAGCACCACTTCCCCATTCCCCAAAGAAACACTCTCGTCAGAGTTACAGCTCTCCAGGACTTGTGTCACCTCATCCTGTGCTCAAATCCACAGCAGACAGAGCTTACTTTATCTGAAACCCTAAGCCCAGTGCCAGGCCTGCCTTAGACAGGTAGGTTTGGGGCTGCCCTATTTGCTTCTAATAATAGATTTTGAAGAACATCCTATTGGCTACAGAGATTGTTTGGGGGTGGCTTCCTGATGCCAGCCAATCCGAGACCTTCTCAGGATTTATCCAAGTGGAGGCAGACTGAAGGAAGGACGGCTGTATGTCCTTGAAGGAGCTGGATTCCCACTGCAGGGAGTCACTTCCTTGATGTATACAAGGCTTGTCTGCAGCAGCAGCAGCAGCAGCAGGGAATGAAGCCCAGTGGGGACTGGTGGCCATGAAGGACAGGGTGAGAGAGAGCAGCCTGGCACCTCTGACCCTGTCCTTAGACCCTGAGGACCCAGAACTGGCAGCATGTCTGCAGGTCCTGCCTCTCAGGTCTTAATGTGTGCCCTCCTTGTAAGATCCTTTCCGTTTTCTTCCTTTGTGACCAAACAGTCCTGAGCATTTTGCTAAGATCACTGTTTAGTAAATAAAATGGAAAACCCCTAAATATGTAGCAGATTAAATTGTGTGATGGTAGCTGAGAAGGGCCAAATGCTCCAGGCTGTGACTTCGGGGAGTCTATACCCTCCTGCCAAACTGCACCTGTAGGCTCACATACCAGCTTTCCTGGCTCAGGGCAGTATTGGCTACTTAGAACTGTCCAGAACTTGACAGTTACTGGTCCTTTAAGAACTATTCGCTTGTTTCATAATGAAGGCAGGGGCCACTTCCTTCTCATTACTGCCAAGAAATGATGACCAGAACAGGAAGTGACAGGCTCAAGAACACCCAGGAGGAAGATACAGCATAAACCCCCTATAAGATCCATAAGGGGAAAGTGTGTGTGTGTGTGTGTGTGTGTGTGTGTGTGTGTGTACGTGTGTGTGCAAACTCTGCATCCCAGTTTGAGATTCAGATCCTAAAAAACAGTTTGAAAGGGAGTGGAGGCACCTAGTTAGTAGAGTGCTTGCCTAGCATGTATAAAGCTCTGGGTTCAATCCTCAGTACTGCACAACACTGTACACAGTAGCACAAACCTGTAATCCCAGAACTTGGGAGGTGGAGGCAAGAGGATCAGAAACTCAAGGTCATCCTCAGCTACATAGGGAGTTTGAAGAAGGCAACCTGGTCTACAGGAAAACTTGTCCAAAAGAAAAAGGACAGAAGGAA